GCCGCCATTGATTATGTTCGACAATAAAGTTTAACAATGCATGATGCAAATCCGTGAAGCAGCGAGACCGTGAAAAGTGAACCGCGTTATAGCGAGGGTTCACTGTACTCATTTAAAGCCGGGCGTACGATGTGCGATTTTTTGCCCTTTTTGTGCCGATTCTCCAGTCGTGCGAGAATTTTTTGATCGGGTCGACTTTCAGCCTGATGGTACGCTGTGTAGCGTACCGGGGGTAACGAGGGGCGGTCAGCCTCTAACGACCACCTCCTCATCAGGAACCGTAAGGTCAGGAGAAAATCAAACATGGTTGAAATTCAGTCGGCCGTCGTAAGTAGGGTTGCCAACCCTCCTTTGAAAAACTGAATCGTTCTGTATTTACAAATAAAAGTACCTGTCCTGCATTTAGTAGAAAAGGAACTCACTTTCTCCCGTATTACTGTGAGAGTAAAAAACGATTCAGTAAAAAGCTAATGGAAAATGAAGACCAAGGGCACCTTAGATACAGAACTTACGGTAAACTTGTTCCCATCCCTGTCCTGCAGTGTGACCAATGAGCTGACAGCATATATGTAACGATCCAGAATCCCCTCATCCTCCAAATGATTTAATTTCTGTTTTCCAACTGTAGCCTACAGTCATTGCATTTAAGGCACAAATATGTTTACAAATTTACTACTAAACCCTTCCGTCTCCAGATAAAGCGTTCCTGAACGCAGCCCACGTTATTCCACTGCTATGACCGCCGTCCTAAACGCTGCATATTTACACTTAAGGCTGGATAAATACTGCCCCGGTGGCAAACACCCCCCCAAAAACAACTTCATTCCCTAACAACCCCCGCAGACCGCAGCGCGCTGGTAGTCACACTCCTGATCAATGTTTTACAGATGCAGGCAGTTCTGAACCGAAACTTGTTCACAAGTTTGCTGTTGCACCATTTATTTATTTTTTTATATTCATTTTTACAGTTTGAAGTTAAGCAGGACAGGCTGATGTTTAAGATACTTATTTTATTCTTTTTTATTTTATTTATTTATTTATTTATTTATTTATTTATTTATTTGAATAGGGAAAATGCACATTAATGAACATCAGTATAAAAACAAATGTAAATATGCCGGATTATAGCTACAAAGCTAGTTTACATCCGTAGTCCCTAGGCAGGCAAATACATAAGAAAGAACATAACATACCATACAAGCATCACAAGGAAATGTTAAGAGTTTAGTGGTTACATGACGGGTTTTTTTTTATCTGTCTGTTTAGCACTCCTTAGCTAACTCGGGTATATTTACATTGTTTTAAAGTTGATTAATGTACACTGTCCCCTTTCAAATAAACAATAAATAAATATACAGAAAACTCCATTAGCCGCCAGTGGAATCGCTGGAAATCGTGCGGCACGGTAGGGAAGCTAGTATTTTTGTGAATGTCTGAAATGTCCTGATAACTACGGAAGCAAATCGTTACCATGTTTCAAATGAAAAAGCATTTCTGGTTTAGTGGTGCGTTCCATTTAGACTCAACAGTTATCTCAGTTACCGTGCTCGGACCGATCTCGGCACGGTTTCAAAAGGATACTTAAAATGGCGCCATTGTTAGCACAGTCAGGTAATGGTCATCATATGTCTCATCATCTTAAACACTAGAGGTTCTGTGAAATTTTACTCATTTTCGTTCAAATTTCTTGTGATTTTCATTTGAGGTTATCCGTTTGAGGGAAATTTATTTTTTTAAAC